TAAAATTTTTAAACAAGATATTTAACTTGTGCTTAATGAATCCATTAAATACACTTTTACACTACCTCTGAAATAAAAAACTGGTCAAACGTAGACCAAATGTGTATCATCTTTCATTAACTCTGTCACGATTCTTAATCATTTAATAAAAAGTGAGAGAAAAAAGTTGGAAACGAACAGGAGTTGCGATGGAGTAAGAGCATTCATTTGACTGCAGTAATGAACGGTAGCGTCTGAAAGTCGCTGTGCGAGGATCCGAAATGCGGTTGCGATCAATCTGAGCTACTACATTGTAAGCCTATAAGTTAAAAGTTTTATAAAACATGTAGGCAAACATATAAATTCTTGTAATATCAAAACACTTAAAATAATCCCAATAACACCCGAGTGTTTAAAAATAAGAAGAAAGTCAAACCTGAGGAATTTTCTCATCTTTCAAAGCGCTCCCCAGTGCTACAGACGTGTGATGTTTAAGTACTTCTTCCAGCATTTTTATAATCCATTAAAACAAATAAAAAGTTTAAAGTCCTGTAGTTCAAAAAGTCCCCGGAAAGAAAAAGGTTTTTAGCCTAGGAAGTAAAATAAGAAAGGCGCAGAGACATCGAGCAGATTTTTCCCTACTCTAGCTAGCTGAAAAGCAGAAAGAAACTTTCTTCAAGAAAACCATCTCACAATTACTGATACTACATCAGCTGCCAAATCACTCAAGGTTTAATTATGAAGTTACATAGCCTTCTAAACTACTAGTTTTCAATGAAAAGTAAGGACCAATGAAAATAAAACAGTGCATACATATGTAGGATGTATTATCTACATAGGCGTACTATGCTTCGTTCCTAAGTTTACTTTCTCATTGCGAGATAAAACGTGAACCTGGCCCGATGCCAGCGTGTCTTGTAATCCAGATCGTTTAACCAACAGCACTCGGATCTCTTTTTTGACTGCTTAAAGACTCGGCTACTGGATGTTTCAGAATCCGTTAAAACTTTACGAGATTTTCATGAGAATGCTTTCCTTATTACTGGGATCAGAAAACAAGAATTCAAACATTTTTGCGAAAAAGCTAGGTATTTACGGGAAAGTTCATCAATGACTGCTTGGAAGATAACTTGCGGTAATTCCAGTTTCTCAGTAATAAAATTGTTTTTTAGGCTCGCTATATAAAACTTGGAATGCGGCGAGGACTCTATGACAGCAACTGTCACTGCGTGCTCTCAGGACAGTTAAGGGACTTGAAACTGCAAGTCCGGAGAGACAGTGAAGTCCACAGAAAGTTGGCAATCTTTCCAACTTTGAAAGGAGGTAACTT